GCAGGCTGTACAAGGATCCCCACAGTCAAGTGTTGTTGGAGCATTGTCACCGGCCAGTTCAGTGTTGCGTCCATCAGTGTCTCAGGCTCAGCAACAGGTTGGTGGCACTACCATCAAGAGGTTGTTAGCATTGAGCAGTCGGCGTGCGAAAAGGGCAAGAGGCTCAGGAGCGGGGTCGAGTGGGGATGGACAAGGGACAGAACAGAGCATTGATTTGACCTTGGCATCCAAGACATATGCAGTGCTTTCAAATGTTGACAGTGGAGCAGCAATGTCAGTTTGCCCCCCGGGAACATTTCCAGACTACCCGGTGCTGGCTAGAGACGATGAGGAAGAGATAGTTTTGGTTGCAGCGAATGAGGAGACAGTTGAGCATTATGGTGAGGTCAGGCCAATTGTGATGACGTCGGAAGGTCACTTGAGAGAGATGGTGTTTCAGGTGGCGGCAGTTGGCAAGGTGTTGACATCAGCAGCTCAGATTTGCAACCGAGGGCATCGGATTGTCTTGGAGTCGGAGGGTGAGCGCAGTTACATTGAAGACAAGGAGACGGGTGATACATTCAATTTGTATCAAGAGGGTGCAGTTTTCAATTTGTATCTTCATGTGATCCCGTATGCCGAGACCACGGGTTTCTGCGGGCAGCCGACGGGGAGCAGTGCCCCGGCGGATCCGCAGGCGTAAGGCCCCGCTATGAGTTGCATGCATTGGATGAGGAGCCACAAGAGTTGAGAGATTCGGGTTCCCATCCTGAATTCGATGATGGTGTGAGTGATCGCAGTGACCTATATCAAGGCCACACTAGAGTTCCTGAGTTGCCACTTCCGGACGACTATGAGCAGTATGAGCCGAGTGAAGGAGACTTGGACGTTGTGGCATCTCATGCAAGAGAATTAGAGGATGAGGTCAGGTCCAGGAGGCTACTTCTCCGTGTTCCTATTGGACCTACAGAGGAGGAGAAACGGGAACATATGATCAGCCACATTCCGTACAGGAGCTGGTGTGCAGATTGCATCAGAGGCAACGGTTTGGCTGAGGCGCATCGGAAACAGAGACTGGGTCAGGACGCTAAAGAGCAACGGAGACCTTTGATAGCATTGGATTACTTTATCTTGGCAAGGATGAAGAGCAGAGTTTGCCCATTTTGGCCATG